AATTCTTCTGCCCAAATCAATTTAAAGAACTTAACATAAACCTTCATCTATGTGTGTTCACCTCACTTAGAATCCATTTATGCTTTTTATTTTTCCTAAATTGATTTTTCTTAGTTAGATAGTTAATTGAAAGGCAGAATGGCACAGACAGGAAGATCTTTCATGTGCTGGTTCACTACCCAGGTGCCCACAACAGCCAGGGCTGGGCTATTACAAAGCCAGGAGCTTGGAACTTCATCCTGGTTTCCCATATGAATGGCGGGAACCCACAGATAGAACATCCTTTGCTGCCCTCCCAGCACATTCCCAGGGAACTGGGTTAAAAGCAGAGCAACAGGGACTAGAACTGGCACTTTGATGTGGTGTGCAGTGTCCCAAAAGATGGCTTAATACACTGTGCAACAATACACACCCCACTTTTCCTAAATTCTGTGAGAGCTTTAAAACCAAACTGAATTTCTATTTCTTTCTCTTTATATATTTCTTATGAAAGAGAGACCATATCTCAATTTATTTTTGTATCCCTGTGGCCTTTTATAAAATATGAGCACAGCAAACAGAAATTGAAGCCTTGGGCCCAGTGTGGTAGCCTAGTGACTAAATCCTTGCCCTGCATGTGCTGAGTCCCATTTGGGTGCCAGCTCATGTCCTGGCTGCTCCACTTCCCATCCAGATGTAGAGAAGACAGGGCTAGAGCAGCTGGATCAGAAGTGAAGCAACGTATGAAATGTTAGCATTGCAGATGGCAGCTTAACTTGCTGTGCCATTGTGCCAGCCCACTTTGCTAACTATTGTAAATCTATTTATTATCTCTTCTGGGATAATGTTTAGTGATTAAGTAAATATAGAGGTGTGTAAGTTCAGATCATCTACACAGGGCTTTTGTCACAGTTCAGTGTGTGATACACTGATACAGTTAGAATCTGCACTGCGATGATGACACAGCTGGTTTAAAATAACCTGTGCAGCCTCTTTTTTTTTTTTTAAGTACAATGTACCACTCTGAAGTTTGAACTTGATACTCCTATGTACTGGGGAACCTAACATCTCTGACAAGATAGAGCACATTGCCATCACCCTGGAAAATGTCCGTCTGTCCCTTTTCAAGCTGCCCTTGCTCCATAACCACTGTTACTTGAATGGCAGAGTTCCGGGAGAAAAAAAGGAGAGAGAGAGATCTTCCATCTGCTTGTTGCTCCCCAAATTGCTGTAATAGTGAGGGCTGTTCTCTGCTGCTTTCCCAACTGCATTAGCAGGGAGCTGAATTCGAAGTGGAGTATCCAGGACTCAAACCATTGAACCCATATGTGATGCTGGTATTGCAGAAGGAGACTTAACCCATTACACCACAACATTGGAAATGATTCAGTGTCTTTTTGAAGTTTATGGATATATAACTTTTTTTAAGAGCAGTCATATTCCCATAAAGCAGAATGCTACCTTCTCATATTTAATGTTTATCTGAATTCAAATGATTTTTCTTAGCCCTCTGGATTATTTGGTAACTACTGTGGCCAGTGTGTCACCACTGAAACATTTGCATATAAATTGACAATTTCAGTAATAAAGATATAATCAAATGCAAGTTGTTCTTTAACTCGTGATTGTTTAAGGCAAGGTTGTTGCTGATGAACAGTAATTTTTACTAGCATACAGTAAGGAGAGTTCCTTATTTTCTTGCCCTTGTGAATTTTTCATACACATAGACTAAAATGAAATATTTGATATTTCCTGTAAATTGTGTGTTTTAATAGAGGTCAGTTTATTGTCTCCATTGTGACGCTGGGATGAAGGCAGTAAGAAAGCGCAGTGTTCCCACCTCCATGCAGCTGAACTGGCATTGCATTAGGAAAACTCCCAGGATGGAGCATTTTATTACAATTCAGTACAATTGGTTCTTGCATAACCTTTAGAAAATCATACATAAAACATTCTCATCTATATAAATAAAAATCACCCACACATTTTATTAATAGCTTTGTTCATTTTTCCCCTGGAACTTGATGCTGCTTGTTCCTACCATGCCCCTTATTTTAGCCCCTTTCAAAGATGACTTTCTAGAAGCATTCTTACAGCAGAAATGGTAGGATAATATTGGGAATCAGACAGAAGTATAAGATAATTCCTAACAATTCCCGCTAGTCATGGATTTCCCTCTTGATCAAATACTATGACTGGTATATCGTAAGTGTCCTTTTCACACTTAGTGACAGGGAGTGGCTCATTCACTGGAAACAGTTTAGGAAAGAACAAAAAGACAGAAGATTGTGCTTTCATGGAAATAGTCATATTTTGTTTGTGATAACATTTTAAGCATCTTTCAAAATACATTTTTTTAAAAAATATTTATTTTTTATTGAAAAGGCAGATATACAGAGAGGAGGACAGAGAGGAACATCTTCCATCCAATGGTTCAATCCACAAGCAACTGCAAGAGCCGGAGCTGAGCCTGGAGCCAGGAGCCTCTTCCAGGTCTCACAAGCAGGTGTAGGGTCCCAAGGCTTTGGGCCATGCTCAAGTGCTTTCCCAGGTCACAAACAGAGAGCTGGAGGGGAAGCTAGGCTACCAGGATTAGAACTGGGGCCCCTATGGGATCCTGGCACACTCAATGTGAGGACTTTAACTGCTATGCTATGGTGCTGCACCCTCAAAATACATTTTTAAGATCATATTACTGGGGACTGGCACAATAGCCAAGTGGCTAAAGACCTCGCCTTGCTCACACCAGGATTTCATATGGGGGCCAGTTTGTATCCTGGCTGCTCCACTTCTCTTTCAGCTCCCTGCATGTGTCACATGAAAGCAGTCAAGGACGGCCCAAAACCTTTGGACCCTGCACCCGCTTGGGAGACCCAGGAGAGGTTCCTGGCTCCTGGCTTCTGATTGGCTCAGCTCTAGCCCACTGTGGCCACTTGAGGAGTGAACCAGCAGAAGATCTTCCTCTCTGTCTCTCCTCTCCTCTCTGTATATTTGGCTTTCCAATAAAGATAAGTAAAACTTACAAAAGAAAAAAGAGTGAACAGAACACTCCTGAAATTGCACTCCACTGCTACTAAAATGAATAAGATACCAAACATAAAAATAGGTGTTTTGCATTTGGATGTATTTGTAGAGTCTATTTTATGCTTATATCTGTATAATCAATTGTTATCTGCTTATTTTGAATTCTCAGAGAGCTGCAGTCATTTCTGCCCATGTAATTTTAATAGCCACTGTTACTGTAATAACAAAGTGTGAAGATGTCTTGTGCTAAATGTAGTTTAATTAAACACAACTGGTTGAATCTGGAGTCTAGGCATAGTGGGTTAACTTGCCACTTACACCACCAACAACCCGTCTGGGTGCCTGGATATTCCACTTCTGATCCAGCTCCTTGCTAATATACATGGAAAAAGCTGATGGGAGCTTGCTCTCCCTGCTTCTTCTAACTGTGCCTTTCAAATAAATAAATATTTTAAACACACACACACACCACAAAAACAAGTAAAAATTGTCATACCAGAGGCCCACATGGGTCTGCATGTGGCTATAGGCCCCAGTGCAGGCACCCCCAAGCACATTTTTTTTATCACAACTGCTATTGCTTATCTCTGTTTTGCATGGTAGCATGTAGATGAACGTGCAAATAATTAATAGAAGCCCAGTAAAGCAGTAAAAAGAAATAGAGAAATCATCTAGTCAGTAAACTAGAGAATCCATTTTTGAAGGTTTCTTTATCCTTTCCCTGCCCTTACGAATTCTTGTCTGCAGTAACTACCTTACATTACAGGAGCAGACCCATTTAAGCCAGAGTGATAATTTAGGCCAGAATCTTTAAGTAGCTGCCATTGAGAGGTTGTTGTTAATTTGCTACCTGCAAAAAGGCAGTGAAGCAAGGAAATACACAGGAAAGAGGAATGAGTGACCTTACATAACCTAATGCTGAGGTAAGGGAACAGAGTTTAAAAAACAGTATTTCTTAAAATGTGTTTGTTGCTGGGCCCAGCGCGGTGGCGCAAGTTGTTAAGGGTCCTCGCCTTGCACGCCCAGGATCCCATATGGGCGCCGGTTCTAATCCTGGCAGCCCCGCTTCCCTTCCAGTTCCCTGCCTGTGGCCTGGGAAAGCAGTCGAGGACGGCCCAAAGCTTTGGGACCCTGCACCCGCGTGGGAGACCCGGAAGAGGCTCCTGGCTCCAGATCGGCATAGTATCGGCCCGTTGCGCTCACTTGGGGAATGAATCATCGGACGGAAGATCTTCCTCTCTGTCTCTCCTCTCTGTATATCCACCTTTCCAATAAAAAAAAATAAAAATAAATCTTTAAAAAAAGTTTTTTTTTTAAATGTGTTTGTTGCTAGTCCATAATGTGAGACCAGATAAAGCTTATTTTTTCAGTTTGGGATTTTACAAAAGGACCTTATGAAAAGTAAAATCAAGCACATCCTTTTGTCAGTCTAAAATTGCATGTCGCCACCTTGCACTCACAGAAGTGTCTGGGTGTAAGCACAGTAGGGTAAAAGTGCCTGATGGTTACCTATAGGTGTGTGTGTTTGATAACAGCAAGCATATGGTAATGTATTCCGTGTTGATATTGATATTTGAATTTTGAATTGGCATCTAGATAATAAAGTTGCTGATGTGCCTTTAAAAGTGTCTCTTTTAAATAAACTTATACTGAGAGAATAACCATTAAAAGTTTAATTGTAGTTTTTTCTCATTTTGTTTTGATTTAATATTAAAAGCTGTGAACCAGAGAGCATCTAAATGTATCTTTTGCAATATGACAAAGTTACATAAGAAGAGAATCCCCTTGCACGTAAAGAAAAATGCAATTATTTTCTATTCTGAATCTCCAGACTGCTGTTTTAGAAAATCATATCTGATTATTTGCTCAGCAGAAGATTATTGAGTTGATTTAGCTGTGATTTTACTTAACAAAGCTTCAACTGCATTCCTACTGTGGAGTCTGTGAAAGGTAGCGAGATATAAACGATACATTCAAACTGTGATTTTTGTGAACAGGGCCATCGATGCACCCCTCGGAGCTAATAGCGGAGATGAGAAACAGTGGGTTCGCACTGAAACGAAATGTACTGGGGAGAAACTTGACCGTAAATGATCCATCACAGGTAATGATCTTTTTATCAGTAAGCTGAAAATGTCTATAAATCTAAATGTGATTGCTTGAGAATTGCTACTTAATGTTTTCCAATATGCATATATCCATAGGAAAGTAAGATAGCGCAAGGAAAATGCCTAAGATATGTTTTGATTTTGCCACTTTATTATTTTAACCTAAATGAGAAATTGTTTATAAACCTATATTTTAATAAAATGAAACTGCCTCTCTGGATTTCTGTGGATGAAATATCTCAGTGATGATGAGCTGGTTGTTTTCTGCTTCCTGCTAACTTATACCTGACATGAAGGAGGGCCAGTGGGGAGACGTATATGAAAACAAACCCCCCAGAACTGTGGAAGCAACTCTAAACTTCTTTATTGAACTGTTCATAGTACAGAAAATGTTTGCAACAGTGAAATGTTTAAACAAGCAAGTGTCTCGTTAAGGAGATGGAGTTGGAAGCCATGCTCTATGTGAGGCTGTACCTGTATTTCTCTATTGTCCTCTTCCTAATAAAGTTCGCTCATGCTGGCAGAGCAGTCGTGTTAACCTCTTAGTGCAGGGGAACCACAAGAAAAAGTTTACATTCCTTCTCATTTCCCAACTCAAAATGTCATAAGCATCTGTATACTATGAATATGTCCCTAGTACCAAACTTATTTATAAATATTTTCTTTCCTGTCTGATAAGTAACTTATCTGAAAAATCCAGCAATTTAATGATGTCTTGCTTTACATAGGAGTACGTTGCAAGTGAGGGCGAAGAAGATCCAGAAGTTGAATTTTTGAAATCCCTAACAACCAAACAAAAACAGAAACTTCTTCGGTAATTAAGAATTTAGATTTGATGGATTTGTTTTTTATTTATGTTTCATCGTTGTGTCATATAACTCTAATCATAAGAGCTCATGAAGGTACTTAAACCGTGCATTACATTTTTTGGGTTATCCTTCAGTGTTAGTATTATAATTCTTTCAGTAATATGAAAATAAGCATATGGGACTGGCATTGTGGTGTCGTGGGTAAAGCTGCTCCCTGCAACACCAGAATCCCATAGGGGTGCTGATTTGCATTCTGGCTGCTCCACTTCCAGTCCAACTCCCTGCTAGTATTCTATGAGAAACAGCCGAAGATGGCCCAAGTACTTGGACCCATGGTACCCACTTGGGAAACTTGGAAGCAACTCTTGACTCCTGGCTTCAGCCTAGCTCAGTCTGGCTGTTGTGGCCATCTTGGGAATGAAACAGTACATGAGAGATCTCCATCTCTCTGACTTTCCCTCTATCTGTAACTCTACTTTCAAACAAGTAAATATCTGTAAAACAAAAACAAAAACAAAAAGATGAAAGAAAAATAAGTACAAAATTAGGCCTGGCGCTATAGCCTAGCGGCAAAAGTCCTCACCTTGCACACACTGGGATCCCATATCAGCACTGGTTCTAGTCCCAGCAGCCCCAATTCCCATCCAGCTCCCTGCTTGTGGCCTGGGAAAGCAGTCGAGGACGGCCCAAAGCCTTGGGATCCTGCACCCGTGTGGGAGACCTGGAAGAGGCTCCAGTTTCCTGGCTTCAGTTTGGCTCAGCTCCAGCCATTGCAGCCAGTTGGGGGGTTGAACTACCAGATGGAAGATCTTCCTCTCTGTCTCTCCTCCTCTCTATATATCTGCCTTTTCAATAAAAATAAAATAAATCTCTTTTTAAAAAAGGAAAAAAATAAGTGCAAGATTATATATTCGGATGTTCAGATTATACTACAAAAGTATTGTGCTTTTTTATAAAGAAGATTTACTTTATTTTTATTGAAAAGACAGATTTACAGAGAAAGATCTTTCACCTGCTGGTTCACTCTCCAAATGGCCACACTGGCTAATTCACTCCCCATTTGGCTGCAATGGCCAGTTCACTTCCCAAGTGACTGCAGTGGCCAGAGCTGAGCTGAGCTGATCCAAAGCCAGGAGCTAGGCCAGGCACTTCTTGGGTTCCCATGCGGGTACAGGGCTCCAAGGCTTTGGGCTGTCTTTGACTGCTTTCTCAGACCATGTGCAGGGAGCTGGATACGAAGTGGAGCACCCAGGACACAAACCGGTGTCCATATGGGATCCCAGCACTGGAAGGAGGACCATTAGCCAATCAAATGACTGCCTAAGACCAAGTTTTGCAGTTTTTATAATACATTTGGAAATAACTGTAGTACTAATTATTTGTATATAACTTTTTTTTTTTACACACAATTTGATGAAATTATGGGTATTTGCTTCTCATCTGTTTTGGCCCTGTAGTTTTCCAGTATTTCATGAAGAATACTGAAAAGAATGCTTAAATTTAAAGTCAATACAAATGTTGCTAAATAGACTTCCTTTGGATTGAGAAATCCAGAAATGTCTGCTGAGTCCAATAGAGGGAGCTCTAACGTGTTCATGTGTGGAGTCCTGATGCTTGGAGAGCGCAGCAAGACACTGATTCAGCGAAACTGGGGTTGTGACGTACTCGCTGAACATTCATAGTGTGGATACAGTTGTCCGAATTATTTTAAAGAGTAAACGAGTGTTGGAAATTAGTATGTGTTTGTTTTTGTCTTACATAACAAAAAATAGTATCAAAAATTTTAAGTATATTCTAATGCATAATTTCTGGAGCAAATACTCTTCAGTTTTAGTCATCAATGTTGAGTAATATTTCCAGACTTTAAAATAATCATATATAAAATTAATTTTTCATCTGAGGTCTAATGAGTATGACAGATCTTTCATACATTTTCATTTACAGTACTATAGTTTCAAATTCTTACACTGTGATTTTTTTCAAATTTGTGTTTAATTTTTATTGGAAAGGCAGAGGGAGATGACAGAAATATTTCATTTACTCCCTTAATGCCCGCAAACATCCTGAGCTCTCACCTGCTGCCTCCCACTGTGTACATTAAGCAAAAAGCTAGAATCAGACACAGGACCTGCTCCTAAACCATGGCCCTCACCAAGTGCCTACCTCACAATGGTTTTTGAAACAGTCATTACAGGGCCCAGCACCATAACCTAGTAGCTAAAGTCCTTGCCTTACATGCATTGGGATCCCATATGGGTACCGGTTCTAATCCCAGCAGTTCTGCTTCCCGTCCAGCTCCCTGCTTGTGGCCTGGGAAAGCAGTTGAGGATGGCCCAAAGCCTTGGGACCCTGCACCCACGTGGGAGACCCAGAAGAAGCTCCTGGCTTTGGATTGGTTCAGCCCTGGCAGTTGCAGCCACTTGGGGAGTGAACCCAGTGGATGGAAGATCTTTCTGCATCACCCTTTTCTGTATGTCTGCCTTTCCAATAAAAGAAAAAAAAAATAAGTCTTTAAAAACAAATTGTCATTACTAGTGATGATCATACTCAGAGACTTGACTTAATGCATTTATCTTTTTATTTAAACTTTATGTGTCCATGTCTTACATAAAGTAAAAAGGGAAAAATTATTTGTCATTTAATAAGTAGTGTCTTTATATATGGATTGAATTTTCAGTAGCTCTTAAGAAAATAAAAATTGCCTATTGACAATTCTGCAATTGTTGGTGAAAGGATAGTTTTTCAATTTGTTCCTCTTTTTCCCAATTACAGGAAATTGGATCGACTTGAGAAGAAAAAAAAGAAAAAGACAAAAGATAGAAAAAAGAAGAAGATTCAGAAGAGCAGAAATAAACACAAAAAACATAAAAACAAGTCCTCCTCCTCTTCCTCCTCCTCCTCCTCTTCCTCCACTGAGACGTCGGAAAGCAGTACTGAGAGTGACAGTGACAGTAAAGGTAAGAAAAAAGAAAAGAAGAAAAGGAAGAAAAGCAAATATTCAAGGAATAAAAATGATTCTGAAGAGATAGATAAATCTAAGAAGCGGAAACTTTGTGAAGAACTTTCTAGCAGTCACAGCAAGGAAAAAGCCAAGGAAAAACCTGAGCTTTTAAAACAGGAACATTCTGGAGAGAATAGCAAACGGAGCCATTGTGATAGTGACACCAAGTCCAGAAGCCATAATCATGGGCCAGAAAGAGGATCTGAAAGACGTGAAGGGAGCAGCAGAGGCCATAGCAGGGATGAGAGGAGGAAGAGGAGCCGCAGCCCAAGCCCTGGTGGCTACAAGCAAAGGGAGACGGGAAGGCGGCCACAGTGCAGTCACCGGGAGGAGCGGAACGGAAGGAGTGATGCCAGGAGCCACGGCACACATAACCACAGAGAAGACGCACACAGGGAGCTCGCAGGGATGCAGCGGCCAAGCAGGAGCGGGGAGTGAGGGAGTGCCTGTGGCAGTTAAGAAGGGCTAATTTATGTACTACATGTTTCTAATTAAAAAAAAGGTTTTAATTTTCTATCTCCGCAAATTGTCGTTTCAAGTATACAGCTATAGGAGAACTATAAGAATGAACTTCCCAAATATTTATAGTCATGTATTTCAGGGCTGTAAAACTATTTTCTCTTTTGTAACTGTGTCTTGTGCCCTGTGCCAGATGAAAATCCTATATAACTGTGACATTTCTTTGTTCTGAAATATCATTAAAAGAATGACAACATGTTGATTGGGTAGAATTTAATGTTCTTTTTTAAATTTAAATTTCTGATTTTATTTGAAGCAAAGTATAATATTGTTGAAATTCACTAGTGTGCATTAAACACTGATGTGATGTATATTGAAGACTCAAACTCCCCTCAAGTTTTGTCCTAGAGTAAGCTGTTTACACTGGATGATGTGTTAGTTGTGGTGCCTGTATCACAGTGCTGGAGCTCAGAAGTCTGACATGGACTCCTTGGGCTTTCGCAGTGTCAGCCAGACTGTTCCTCCTGGGGCTGGAGGGGAACACCTGCTTGCTTGCTAATTCTAGCGTCTAGGTGCTGCCCGCATTCCTTGGCACCTGGCCTCCTTCCCCCATTTTCAGAGCTCACACAGGAAAGCCAAGTCCTGGCATCCAGCCACTCTGACACTCTCTCATCATGCATCCCTTTTCCATTTACAAGGAAACCCAGCCACACCAGGCCCATCTGAAGAATCCTGGATCATCTCCCTTGTATTTGATCAACTTGCAACCTTAATTCGCCTTTTCTGTGCAGTGTAACATATCCACAGGTTCCAAGGTTAGGACCTGTGTACAATCCTGAGCTACAGCACTTTGCTTCTCACAGATGGCCTTTCTACCAGAGGTTAACCATTCCTGTAATGTCACAGCACAGTGCAAACCAGATAGATTTCTTGACTATCAGGATGTAAAGAATGTTTAAATTTAGCTACAGATTTTCCCATGTGTTTGAAAGCATATAGGTAAAGGAAAACCAAAGGAAAAAATCTACATGTAACATTCAGATCCAAAAACATTTCGCATCATGGGTACAGTACTTTTGTTACTAGGGTTCTATTTCTAAATAAAGAACATGTTATTTAATACAAAGATATTGAGTAGATAGTTAATTTTGTAAGTGCTGTAGGAAAACAAGTTTGAAGAAGCAAAACCATGAATCTTGATCTCAGCTACTGACACGGAAAAACCCTCTGAAAAGGCTGTGTCAGGGTGTAAGCAACCCTTGTTTAGATTTTTAAGAGTTGGAGGGGAGAACCAAGTTCCTTCTACAATGTTCTTTAAAAAACAGTGCATCTCAAAGGTTCCTTCTTCATGTTAAAAAAGTATGCATTTAAAATTGATAGACTGCTAATTTACACCTTGATCTCATCAGTGTTGCCGTAATTATTTTCTACCTTACAGCTTTTTAGACTTTATAATTTTTATAATGTCAAAACCTGTGCAATACTTACTGCCTTAACTGGCTTCTGAACCAATATAATGTTCACCAGGAGAAATGCTGAAATGCATCCTGTAATTAAAAATGAATTAAATACATTATCATTTCTTAGGTCCTTTTTTCTCATTTGATTCCTAAAAGTCTGGTCCACTTCTAACTTCATTTAGTTTTAAATAAAAGAAAAGGGGGGATCCCCCAATACGATGGGTCAGTGGCTAAATCCTCATATGGGTGCTGGTTTGTGTCCTGGGTGCTCCACTTCCCAGCCAGCTCCCTGCTTGTGGCCTGGGAAAGCAGTAGGGAACAACCCAAAGCCTTGAGACCCTGCACCCACGTGGGAACCCAGGAGAGGATCCTGGATCCTGTTGCAACCGAGTGAACCAATGAATGGAAGATGTTTCTGTAAATCTACCTTTCCCGGAGAAATTTTTTAAATTAAATCTTTTTTTAAAAAAGAATTTAGTCTTCAATTATCCTTTGCAGTTAAGTTACAGAATGCTCTGAAGGCTCCAATATTCCCTTCAGTTGTAAGAAAAATGTCTAGTTCGTGAGGTAAGATGGTTTGCTGTCTGGCTGTCAGCCTTGGTCATGGAAGGATGCTGGACAGGCCCAGCAGCGTAGTGTACTGTCTGTAGGACAGAAGGCAGCTGTGACCACATGCAATCCTAGCATGCTGAAAGCCAGCCTCCAAGAGGCTTACCTTATCTGTTTTGCATATCATGATACAGGGGAAATGAATGCAAGGGGATTTTTAAAGGAAAATTACTAGGCTTCTAATTCTACTTTTGATTTTAAAATGTAAAGTAGAAACTAGAGATGAACCCTGTCATCAAAAGGGTGTCTAGTACGTGTGGAGCTCCCTCTGAGTACAGAGAAAATGAGAAATCCTCAATGTTTAATGAATCCATGATCTGAGCCACCCAAACAAGATTTCTCAACAGTGATACTTCAGAAGACAATGAACCAGCGAACAGAAGGTCTTTCTGTATCTGCTTCTCTGTAAAGCTGACTTTCCAATTAAATCTTTAAAAAAAAAATAAGTCAGTCTGATGAATTTTATCGTTCTTAACTCTACAGAGACATTCTTGGCCGGAAATATAAGTATGCGTCTGCATTTTCATTTATCCTCAGGCCTGGGACGGCCTTTGAGGTCTGAACCTTGTCTCCCCTGGCCTGACACTTGAACACTAGCAAATTCATTCCTGTAGGAGGTGCTGTCGATTTATAAATGGCCAGGAAAATCAGGCCGCTAGGTTAGGGCTTGTTTATCTGAAGGTCTGGTGGTAAATGAGTCTCGTTTCCTTTGATAACTGTCCAAACCACAGCAGCGCCTGCCTTATGGCTTACCCCACCAGGTAAACCCGGGACGCAGTTAGGAGCTGTCTTCGGAAAAAAGCTTTTCCCCTGAAAGCATGGGAGAGACGTTCCTTGATGCTCTGCCGGGAGCTGGATGCTCGGTGGTGGGTGAACTCAGCTCTAGCCCATAAGGCCCCCGACATTTAGCACTGAAGTTCCCACAGGTCCACACTCACCTGGGCCATGCGTGGCCTGTCACCTGCTGACCGCTGAGCCACCACACCGGGCACTAGGCCGCTCCACCAAGCCACATCCTGCACACCCTGCGCCTAAGACCAGGACAAAAACTGCTCCTGTAAGCTTCAATGGCTCAAAGATGTTTAAAAGTCATGTTTAGGTTTTCTGAAAAGAAACATTTTTTGCTATAGTTACCACTTCTCGCAAAGAGCTTAAAGGGAGGGCTGCAAGCCTTGAGTTTTTCAGGATCAAAAGGAAGGAACTGGTTATCAAAGTTGTGAGGGACCAACAAGCCCCGGGCGGGACTGGGGTGGGACGAGGAACCCCGAAGTTCAGGCCTCGCGGCAGAGCACTCTCCCAGGTGACTCGGGTTTTGAGAACCCGGTTCCCAGCCGACAGAGCGGGAGACAGACACTTCCTCGCAGCCTTCCTTCCCGCACGGCAGCGAACCCCACAACCCCAGACAGAGCCAGAGGTGCGGGGTGGGCGCGAGCAGCTCCTCCCCGGGGCCCGCGAGCCTGCGTCCCCACAGACACACCCGACGCCCGGACCCTCGGCGACCCTCGGGTGGGCACACACGGCGCGGCCCAAGGGACTCCGGGGTTGGGAGGCTGCCAGAACGGGCTTCCCAAAGAAGGAAGCCGCAGGCGGAGCGGGGCGGGGGTTAGGGTGAGGGGCGTCCCGCTTCCCAAGCTCACCCCCCAAACCCAAATGGAGAGGTTGACGATCAAGAGGGCGCATTCCCCCTTCCCATAAGAAGCGCCTCTGGCGCCACAAGGCCGCCCGACTCCCTGTACCCGAGGGGCGTGGGCCCCCCGAAGCTCAGCCAGAAGAGGTGGCGCAGGCCGCGGGCCACCGGAGCTGCGAGCGTCCCCGGCTCGGCGCGCCAGCTTCCCGCCCCAGCTCGCCGGGATTCCGCGGGGAGGCTGGCCCTCGGGGAGGCTGGCCCTCGGGGAGGCTGGGCCTCGGGGAGGCTGCCCTCGGGGCTCCGGCGGCTCCCGCGCCTCGGCGAGGGGCGCGCTCCGGGCTGCCCGCCTGCCCTCACGGCCCGCCGCGCCTGAGGCCTCCCTGACAGTGCCAACTCCCGCCAGCCACCAGCGACGGCCCCTCCGGAAGCGTCTGATGCCCGCCCGACAGGAGAGAATGCTCAGGATTCGAGGGCAAAGGGGCTTGGAAAACCCACTCCAAATACTGAGGTGCAGGCTGCGCCTCGCGGGGTCCCTGCGAACGGACCCCGGAAGCAAGTGTTCACACGGACATTCTGGAACCTTCTCAGCTAGAGTAGGAACACCCCGCGTATGTTTATATTCATACTATATGGGGCAGGCATGTCTAGTATTTACCTCATCCGTATTTCCATAAACTCCAGCGTCTGGAAGGGATGGGGTAAATAACACTGAACGGTTAAAATTATGGAGAAGGGATAATAACTGATTACTAATTTGAAAGTAAATAAACAGGTGACTTTTTCAGATCAGATTCCCTCCTTGGATCGTTACAATAAATATCTCTGAAGGAAGCTCTCTATTTATGTTGTCATTGATTAATTCTTCACTACCTCATTTGATTTCGATTTAGAACGATTTGATTCTAATTTAATTAGCATGTAATTTGGATGTACATAATTACTGTAATTATGACATTCAGGTAAGGCAGCTTTAGGCTGAAAGGCAATTTCAAATTTTCTAGCAACCTACTTTGTACTGGGAAATGGACAAGGACTTTGCGCCCTGCTATCCAAGTAGTAATTAGCACATCTTTGAAATAGGCAGTGCGGCGGGGTTTGTATTAAAACAGCAAATACAAACCCAGCCGAGTTCCCCACCGCAAAGGTGCCTGCTAGTTCCCGGAAAGGCGCTTCGATCCTTTGCAGTCGCCAGGCCGCGGAGTCGGGGAGCCGGGGAGCTGGGAAGTCGGGGAGCCGGGGAGCCTCGGCCCTGGCTCTCGCGGCTGCGGCCGCCGGCGCTTCCGCCGCCTCGGGCGCGGGGTTTGAAGGTGTAGCTTTTAAAAAGTAAACAACAATACATGCGGAGAGTGGGTGGGGTGCAGCGGCAAGGGTGGCCAGGGGAGCACCTCTGCGGGCCGGGCGTTGGGGTGGCGTGGGCGGCGTGAGGCAGGACACTGGCCCGCGCCCCCAGCTGCTTACCCATCTCAGATGGGGGGGCTTCGGTGGGGTGTAAAAGGGGTCACCAGGGCGCCGCCGCCGAGGGCGCACACCTTTTCTCTAGGTGCCTGGAGGTCGGGGGGC